GAACCCCTTTATAGGTTTTTTTCTGTGTAACCAGGCATAGCATGCACCATGTCATGATATTAATGTACCATTGTTTTGACATGTGTATAGTATAGATGTTGTTGTTGTTTTTGTTGTTTTTCTTTTTTTTATGTAAATGTTTCTAAAAATCATTAAAAACAGTGTTGGAAAAAAAATGTAGCATCATAAACATCTGCTTTGTACATTAAATATTAAATGGATTAATTTGACACATCTGGTCACACAAGAGACACACTCAGCAGTAACAAATAAAGCAAGGAAAAACAGCCTATCATGTAAGTGTTATCAAGAGTGATGGAACACGGTCTGTTTAAATGCATTACACAAGCCAACTGACATTCATTGAGTGCTTTAAGAATGAGATAGAGCCTTAGTTCAAAGCTCAGATAACTTGTGCTCACCATACTGACAGCTGGATCCATTGAATCCTGGGAGGCAGTCACACAGTTGATGCACATGGCCTGTACACACACCCCCATTAAAGCACACACCGTAAGTGCAGAGAGCTGGAACAGGAAAAAGAGATTTAAAAGCAGACAGTCCAGCTGATCATTCTATGGGGAAATTTAACAGGAAAAATACATCTTCACAGAAAATATTAAAAGTTGGTTCAACAAGAAGATCAAATTATTCATTCAAATATCCTGCAAGAGCAACTTCTCCCAACGATCAAGGCAAGAGTGATAATGAAGTGTCTCAGAGATCATTTCATTGAAATTTTGGATCAGTGGCCAGGCAACTCCCTGGATCTTAATCCCAGAGAGCCCGTGGTCAATCCTCAAAAGGCGAGTAGACAAGCAAAACTCCACAAATTTTGATGAACTCTGAGCACTATAATAAGGCAAGAATGAATTGCTATCAGTCAGGATTTGGCCCAGAAGCTGATATCCAGCATGCCAGAGCAAATTACAGAGGTTATGAAAAAGGGTCAACACTGTAAATATTGACTGTTTGTATATATCAGGGGCGTAGAATTTAGTAGGGACGTGTCCCTACCAATATCGAGTGACACTGATATATCCCTAGCAATATTTTCGTTTAAAACTTTAAATATATTAAATATTGATGTCCCCGTCCCCACCAATTTCAAAATAAAACCTACGCCACTGGTATATATTGAATGTTTTGACCAATATAAGCCTTTAAAACTTCTAAAATGCTTATCAATTGTTTACCATAGAAATGTGTGAAAAAATCATCTACAAATACTGAAGCAGCAAACTGTGTAGAACACAAAATGTATGTCACTGCCAATACTTTTGGCCAAGGCTGTACAGCTGTCTCTTGCCACTGCCTCTGATGATCACAAAGGTGCATTGTATCCTAGCTCGCTGCAAGAAGAGGTCACAAAGCCTTCCAGATTCTTACAAGGCCACTGATGAGAAGTTAAGCTCTGCCTTTTAATGGCCTTTAAGCATTAAAACAAACAAAACAAAATGAAGCAGAAGTGACAGTGACCTACAGAGACTTATCTAATAGTATCTTTTCAACTATTCTCATGGATTTCAACACCTCACTGACCGAATCCAATGCATAATGATTTACTTTATGTTTGTTTGTTAGAGAATATAGTTGTATTGTGCCCTAACAACCCTGAACCATCCTGAATCAAAATAGAGAGTCTATTGAAATAAGCATCTGATGAAAAGATGATTTATGTGATTGACAATGGCAACAAAGCCAGAATCCTTCTCAAGGAACTTCCAGAGAAGAACAGGAATCGAATTAATCATGTAAGCCATTCACTACACAATCCTTCAGTGAATGATGTTTGTACATCATTAACCTCAGGCCTGCAGGTCTACACGTTATCACTTTAATTTCATGTCATTTAGATATCTATTTAATCAGACATATGACAGAACTGACTGTGCAAACACTTACGATAGATGCACCCTGCCTCTGCATTGAGCTGGGACCATCCAGGACAGCATTTGTACGTAGTCTTAAAGTCTTGTCTGTAGACTTGTCTGTAGCCCATGTAGTAGGCAGTCCTACAAAGTGATTAGAAGATATGATTACTGTAAACCTACGTTAGTAAAAATTTGAGACAAATAGCAGAGTCTCACGGACAATGAAAATTGGCCAATCAGAATGAAGAGAGAGTGGTGTAATAATAGACTTTTGAAAAGATAGATTGCTCAGTCTAAACCCCAATTAGTTCAGTATTTGTTCAGTGCAATGGCAGCATTTAGCAAGCCCAATGCCTGTTTCATGGGGGCTATTCAATCACCTTCCATAATTGCCAAGGGAGTTGATGGCTCTGAGAGTCTTGAGCTTCCTTTTGATTCCTGAAGCATCTGAGACCCTTAATAACCATCGTCTCTCAACAAAAGGATCAGTTTCTAACTGCTGTCTTTCTCTAGCCCTCTGCCCATTCTCAAAAGCGGCTAGAGGTTGGCTGGCACTGAAAGGTGTGCCAGTGAGAAATGGCTGTCGGGCTAAAAAGGACTATTGATAGTGATTCAGGAGAGAGGGATTCTTTACTGCACGTAAAACCAGAACCAACTTTTAAAAATCGTTGTAGCTGTATTCAACCTGACAACAGTTTGACCGGCTCTTCAATCTGACAGTCAAATAAACAAGTACCTCCTCTCATAGTCCATACACCAAGCATGACCTGTGCATCCTTGTCTCCAAACCTTCACCATACGTGTAAAAGCCTGTACACATGGCTGTTTCTCAGCTGTGATGACTCTCTCCTGCTCTGAGCAGACATTTGGCCTGAACAAAGGAGAACGAAACAATCACTTTCCATTTCAAGTGCATAATGCAGCTCTTACATTACAACTCTGTTTTAAAGTCTTTAAGAAACAATAACTGGAAATTGATGTGTAATCAGTTACTAATACTATTATAGTCAAGTAAAGCACCTTTATTTATATAGCGCTTTTTACAATGCAGATTGTATCAAAGCAGCTTCACAGTGATAACATGAAAATAATACAACAAAGTTTGTTTCTAGAAGAAAATTGCGTCATCGTCCACCTTAATATATTATATATTAGGCTACTATATTATATACAATATAGGCTTAATAGTATTAGAAACGTTTAGGCTATTTCAAAATGAGAAAACTTTATACTGTATTTAATAATAATTCACAGTTCTGTAAGAATCAAAAGATGATTACAATTTAAATGTCATTATTATTATTTTTATTAATTCATATTTAAAAAAAAAAAAACGTTTCAAGAAAAGAAACATTAGTACACACAATCATCATGCAGTCAATAAAATCCCAAAATTATAATAAAAACATGACTATCTCCATGATACTTACATGAAAGGCTGCAGAGCTCGACGACAGCGCGATGAAAGGATCTCTGCAAATAGGAAGAATAATATCACCGCGTGTACATCCATGTCAGTGTCTGACAGCACTTGACTTTTCCATACTGCTTCAACTGAGTGTGTTCAGGTTTCATCTGTAAGCCAGCAAATAGCTGAGTAGGAACCGCATGTCTGGTACAGCTCAGCTGAGTGTTTACTATAATAGCATTTACAGTAACGTGTTGCATGAGCAGGCGATATTTTTATTTTAGTTTTACATAATGATGAGCAAAGTTTTTGTCCATCTTTCTAAACAATTGTTGTCCTGTTTTATTTTTTAGTTGTACTTTTTGTTCACTTGCAATGCAAACGTTTTCATTGAACTTTGCAAATGAGTTTAGCAATAAAACAGTTCGGGATGCAGCAAACATTGAGCATCTGCGTAGTATAGGTACAAACCACACCATAGACTGTAAAAAAAAAAAACTATACGTTTGAAATTGTCTTTATATTGTGCTGCCACCTAAAGGCCTAAGCACCTTAACTGCACTTGTTAAAACGACAATTAAATACCTCACAATTCAGGTTCTAACGTTTAATTACGAATTTATTTAAATTTCATATTTATGGAGTAAAATAATGTTATTATAATTGATGTAAAAAGAAATGTTAATAAACGTTAGGACACACCTTCTGTTCTGCAGGTCTTTCTGCTAAAAAATCTTTTTTGGTATTTCATAATATCGCTCATAATTATAACAACTTCTTTATGATTCTGCTAGTAGTATTAGTTTATAAACTGTCTATATTGTACAATGACGACCCACATGAACCAATAAATCAAGTCATAGGCAGCACGCGAATGCCTGATGTTAATTTGTTAAGCAGCGGTTCTCGCCGATAAATATAATTACATTTAAAAATACTTTTTGTATTTCTGTAATTAAACTAAAATACAATATCAGGTAGAATGGAAAGAAGACACAAACCCCTTTTTAATGTTTTATTAAAGGTTGGCTGTTTGGGTCCTTAACCGCAGAGCATTGTGGGAGTTGTTCCTCTGCAGCAATGGCTTGGCTTGTAGTCAGATTAGCAATATCGCTGTCCTTATTATATACTGCATCGGCGGTATTTGAAGACCAAGTTGGAAAATTTGATTGGTATGTAAACGGGATTTGTAGCTGTGTGTTGGTTTCACGTGTAATCCATTGTGGGATTTCTGCGACTGTAAAAACAGCCGGTACTTTAAGCAGGCTGCTGACTGTTGGCAGCTACACCGGGCTGATTGTTAACATCACTCTCAACTCACTGCGATTTCTTTCAGGAGGGAACAGTTCATCGGCAAGGTGCGTTTTGCCCTGTTTGACACTCATTCGCAAGCGTCTAAAAAGCTCCTGGTGGCAACTGACAAGAACGTGTTTGCTTCACTCAATTCAAGGACTGGAGACCTGTGTAAGTCTTTGCCCTCATTTTGCACATTAAATATTATGTAGGCTTTGTGTATGAAGTTGCGGTGAAAATGTTTTTATTTTCCCTCTAGATTTTTTTTTTTTCCATAAGCCTTATTGGTTATTAGACTAAAACCGAATGAGCGTCCATAATAATGTTGCTTCAAAAACTCGTTTTACGTGATCGAAACCCATAGTTTTAAATACTGTCCTTTGATTGTTTTTTAATGACAAAATACATTTAACAAGTCTGTCTGACAAAGTGATGCATCAAATACCTCTGGAATATTTACATATGTGTTCTTTTGCAGTTGACAAATGTGCATTTCTTAAAAAACAAACAAACATAAAACCAAATTAATAATAAGATCTGGAAATCATTACAAACTTGTTGTGGGAAAAAATACAACTTTTGATTATAATATAATACCTACTTGTTTGAGATCAAAGATGCTGTTTTACTGCTGTTTCTTTGTCTAATGTTGTGAACCTCTTCCTCGAACCTCTTTGCATGTTCAGCTACTCATGTACTCAACATTTAAGGGTTGTGGGTTTGCTATTGTGTTTGGTATAGTTATAAACCAACAGAAATAATCACAATAGTACCTTGTTTCTTACTGGTTTTATGAATGGGTGTATTATCAATCCTTATTCTTTATTACTTCATGATTAGGCTAACTAATTTACTGAATACCAAATGTATTAATCTTGGGTTTCTGAATCATAATCAAACTAATCTAAGTGGAGAGGTTTGTCTCCACCTTTGTCTTTATGTAAAATATGCCTACATAAATAAACTTGTTAATTAAAAATGCAAGGAAATTGATTTGGTTTTGTATGATCAATTCATTTAATAGTGTTAGTGAAATGTTTTTAATTCTTGCAGTCTGGCGTCATGTGGATAAAACTGGACCAGAGGGCCATATTGATGCGCTGCTTATGTATGGACAAGGTAACCATGTGGTGAAAAGTGTGTGTACTGTGAAATTGGACTTGGTTTTTGGCTCTTAAATGGTTCTTGTCTCTTAGATGCTGTTGTTGTTGTCGGGAATGGCCGTCTGCTTCGCTCCTGGGAGACCACAGTCGGTGGCTTAAAGTGGGAGGCAGTGCTTGATACTGGGAGGTTGTATTTTGTGTATGTTTTATTGTGACTGTATTAGGTTTAACTGACACATCAAACTGAGTGTCCTCTTTTGACCACAGCTTTCAGGCCGCTGCCTTAATTGGAGTTCAAGACTTTGTGAAGTATGTTGCTGTGCTGAAAAAATCTGCTATCTCTCTCCATGACCTTTCAAGTGGCAGTCAGATATGGGTGGAAAACCTACCTGACAGGTGATGAGAAATCCTGGAACAGCTTTTCTTTATATTGCAATTATTACTGATTATTCTGATTGCTGTAAAAATACTCTGCTGGAGATTAGTTCTAGCTCTCGACGACTTTTCATCTTTTTGCATCCTACAGTGACACTGTTCAGTATCAAACTATTTATTCTGGTGGGAATGGACTGGTGTTTGTTTTGGGATTTGTGCCGAGCTCCCATATTGTTATTGTTGAATACAAAATTGAAGATGGAGAAATCATGAAGAAGGTATGTTTACAGTTTACAGCACCGTTCAAACGATTGGGGTCAGTAGGATTTGTTTTTAAAGAAATTAATACTTTTATTCAGCAAGGATACGTTCGATTAACAGTGTGACAGTCAAGATATGTATTAATGTTACAAAAAATTACATTTCAAATAATTACTGTTCTTATGAACTTTCTATTCATCAAAAAATCCTGAAAAAAATGTATCATACTAGTTTCCACCAAAATATGAACTGTTTTCAACATGATTATAACGATTTAAATGTTTTTAACATGATGATGATGATGATGATAATAAGAAATGTTTCTTGAGCAGCAAGTTAGCCTCTGAGAATGATTTCTCAAAGATCATGTGACACTGAAGACTGGTGTAATGATGCTGAAAATTCAGCTTTGCATCACAGGAATAAATTACATTTTAACATGTAGTCAAATAGAAAACTGTTATTTTAATTTGTAGTAATATTTCACAATATCACTGTTTTTACTGGATATTGATCAAATAAAATGCAGGCTTGGTGAACACAAGAGATGACTTTCTTACCGATCCAAAACTTTGAATGGTAGTGTATAATGTGACAATAATACATAAATATATGAAAATAAATTGAGTTTTCTTATTGAGAGAGTCAGATTACATAAATAATGATACAATCAATCACACATTTGTTTTTCTTAGAAATCAGTTGAAGCCGCATGGATGTCAAGCTTGGAGAACAGCTGCGCAGTCATCAGCTCAGGGAACCTACTGTGTGTGGATCAGATCACACAGTCCTTGTACACTCTACCACTGCAGTCTGCAGAACACACAGAAATGAGACAGATCCACCTCCAGGTGCAGACGTCACTACATTTGTTTTTAACGTACAGTGCTTCCTCAATCTTCTGTAACTATCTGTAATATCACGGATGTCTCTTTCTCCCCCCCAAAGACGCTAGATTTGGAGGTGGCATCTGGATTCCAGCCTGTTCTGACGTCCACTCAACCCAATCCGGCACAACCTCCTCTCGCTGAGTTTTTCCTTCAGCTCAGTCCAGATCATCACATCCTTCTGCAGCTCAAAGATGACCTCATCGCTCCGCTCCGAGACTTCAATCCAGTAAGAACTGAAATGTCTCTCACATCTAAGGCCACGTTCGCACCCGGGCTCTGAACCGGTTCAAGGAACGAAAACGAAAATTGGAAATGAATGAAATTAACAGGAACATAAACAAAAATGAAAACGAAATCAAGTTTAATCTTTCTGAGCAGAAACGCTTTTGAATGACCATTAACCAGTTAATGTTAGAAGCAGAAATTACCATTAACCGGTTAATGTTATTTTTATCATTCTGTTAATTATTTTAATTTGGCTGTCAATCAAACATGAATTCAAATAGTAGAGCCTATGCAAATGTGACATTGGTGCTTCCGTCATGCATAAAATGCCTTCGCTTTGCTTTTGGATCTCAGTTTTTTTCAAGGATATGTTACCAACCGTTAAAGTATTACATTTAAGTGAAAATTAATGGCAGGTAATATCCAGTGTGGAGTGTTTTGAAACTAGTGAAAATTGCGGTAGAACTGCTACTAATCAGAAAATGGAAGAGAATTTATATAAGAGACGGTATTTTTTTTTTCTAGTCAAACTGTTTTTGTAATGTTTCAGAAAGAATGCATGAACAGAAATGTTAAAATACTGATTCTGCTAAGAGTGAACCCATTTTTTTTCTCACCGGTTTTTAAGCCCTGGTTCGCACAGCAACGGAATACGGTTGTCAGTCCTGTATTTGAGTCCGTAATATAGTTACATTCACACGCAGTTACGTTATTTACGGGATTGAAAACCGCATTCTACAACCGAAATCTCACCCGTAAATTTTCAGGACTCACAACCACATTCTCTAAAAACCCACACTGTGTGAACTTAACTGGACTGGACAACTAGTTGTCTGTCATGTCATACAGTGCGAGAACACAAACACATTGCACAAACGTGTGTCTACCGTGTGTTGCGTGTTTTTGTGTGGTAGTTGAGAGAATACGGGGTTGACTCCCATTGCATGTTCCTACAGTCAGTATTCAAGATGCTACTGTGAGTTGCAGTGTGAATGGGATATTTCGAGACTCACACCCATAAGTAAATGCGGTTGTCAATCTCAAAAACGGACAGTGTAAATGTAGCCTAAGATTGGGACCAGAACCATTAAATTCCTTATAGAAATTAGTATTTTTGTTCATTTAAAGACTTAAAGCCCAATGTTCTTCATATTTCAGTCATATTTGGCAGCTTTTGCTACATCTGGAGAGAAGACAGTTGCTGCTGTGATGACCCCAAAGAATGATACTGTGAGTCACATTTCAAAAACTCTCTTTCTAAAAAAAGTCTTTCTATGTATATACTTGTATTGTAATGGTTTGTTTTTCTTACTCAAGGCTTGCAGCATTAATCTGTTCAGTGCTGACACAGGGCGAAGGCACCTTGACACTACCATTATCTACCACATGGACCCTAATGGAGGAAAGCCAAACAGAGTGAGGACTGATGCTGAAGCATATGAGCTTGAACGATTATAGGCCATTCATTTGTGTTGTAGATACATTTTGCTTGTCTGTCCTTTAGTTATATGTCCACGCCTTTCTGAAGAAAGATGACTCAGTGGGCTACAGAGTCATGGTGCAGACGGAAGACCTTACACTCACCTTTCTACAGCAACCTGGTATGAACTGCACTATGGAGGACGAGGAGTGCCACACTTATCTACCAATTTATTAATTACAATGAACAAATAATGAATTACAATTAAATAACTGTATTTAAAAACTATTTAATTCAAATATGTGACCCTGAATCACAAAACCAGTCAAAAGTAGCACGGGTATATTTGTGGCAATAGCCAACAATACATTGTATGGGTCAAAATTATCGATTTTTCTTTTATGCCAAAAATCATTAGGATATTTAGTAAAGATCATGTTCCATGAAGATATTTCCTACCGTAAATGTATAAAACATTTATTTTTGTGAGTGAATGCAACACAATCGAGAACATAAATGGACAACTTTAAAGGCGATTTTCTCAATGTTTTGATTTTTTTACACCCTCAGATTCCAGATTTTTAAATAGTTGTATCTCGGCCAAATATTGTCCGATCCTAACAAACCATTCATCAATGAAAAGCTTATTTATTCAGCTTTCATGTGATCTATAAATCTCAATTTAAACAAATGTACCCATGTGACTGGTTTTGTGGTCCAAGGTCACATATAGAATATATAGAAAATATAGAAACTCTATTTTTAAATGTAAAAAAAATAAAATAATAATTTTTGCATTTAAAATATTTAAATATTTTTTTAAATGATTATTTATTACATTTTAACTAAGTTTATTCAAATTAAATAAACTGCTTTAAATAAGTCAATACAGTGATTTGTCGATTTGAAACTGACTTATTTACATTTTTATTGTTGAATTAATGTTGATAAATGATTTCTTCATTTTGTTTGTAGTGGGTCTCATGGACCTCCATACTATTCCTGTAAACAATGATGTAAAATTCAAATAATTATATTTTTCAGAGAAATATGTTATTAATAATAGGATATTATTATTAATAATAATAATGCTCCTTATGAGGACATTTTTTTTATTAAAACTCTGCTTTTAAATTTAGCCTAAGTTGTCAGCCACTGCCAGCATTTTTTTTTTTAATTTTCACAACTTTCATGGCCCCCAGAATATTTTATTGTATGAATAGCTGAACATGCAATATATCAAAAGAGAGAACAAAGCCCCTGCTTTTTAACTAAATAAAAGGTTTTATTGTAGCTTCATGCATTCTTTTTTTTTATCAACACTTGAATGTGGGTATGTTTTGTAAAAAAGCTACATTTTGAACAAAAAGCTTTCTTTCAAAGACTGCAGTGTGCATAAGTAATAATGATTTGATCAATTGTGTCTGCTTCTTTGCCTGTTTCGATCAGGAGATTCGGTACTCTTTCAGAAGATGCATGATAGCGCTCCCATACCATATAATTCTGTCAGTTGCGGAAAAGCGGTGTCTCATAAATGACGGAAGATTGTCAATGGCGGGGAAAGAGTTAATATAAACAACAAAAGGCACGCGGTTGATTTTTGTGTTCTACTGTAGGCAGAGTAGTCTGGATGAGGGAGGAGGCCCTGGCTGATGTGGTCACCATGGAGATGGTTGATCTGCCACTCACTGGAACACAGGCAGAGCTGGAGGGAGAGTTTGGAAAGAAAGCTGGTAAAGTGCAACATAAATGGAAACCATTGTTTATGTCCTTTTTTGCTTATAACATATTGTTTTTAGTCTTATTCTTCCATCCTGCCATTTTGGAGCAATCACGTTAAGAAAAGTTGGTTCACAATATGAACACACACATCTTAAAGTCAACATGAAGTGTCATTTAAAAGCCGTTTTACTTAAGATGTTTAATTTAAAAAAGTACAGCTGGACTTTATTTTATCCATCAGGAATTTATTTAAATGAAAAGTTGTCTTTATATGATTTGAAAGTCATTTTTGCCTTTTAAAATACATGCACCAATTTAAAACATATATTATAAAATAATATAGAACATATAGATATTCATGTTGACTTTAAAGTTTAAAATCTGTTTAGATTTGAACCCTATAAACATTTTCTATATGTGTTATGTAAGCCTGTATTCTGTGTTTGTGATGTATATGTGTTGTGACGTTGCTGCTTTTGCTGGCTAAGCACAAAGACCCTTCTGTCTTACTCATCTGTCCTGTTTTCCATGGCGTGCCATTTCTTTCTGTATTTATTTCTTTCTGTGTTTTCTTTTGCACTCGCTGCACTCGGATCCAGCCATTCAAGGTAAAGTAGAGAGCTTCCTCTTAATTTTGCTTCTCTTCCTAATCCCGTTTATTTTATCCAACGTCAGTGTCTCTAACTTTTAGACAAAACATTGGCTCAAAAATGTTACTAAAGTAATGTTACAGCTGATTGTTTTTTTTCTTCAATGCAAAAAAATGGAGTCATCCCTGACACTTATCACTGATCTCTTGTTCCCTTCAGATGGGCTGTTACCCATGGTTCTCAAGCGCCTCTCTTCCCAGTTTATCCTGCTGCAGGCCTGGATGGCCCACCTCTGGAAACTCTTCTACGATGCCCGGAAGCCTCGCAGCAGCGTGAAGAATGAAGTCACCATAGACACACTATCTCGGGATGAGTTTAACCTGCAGAAGATGATGGTGATGGTGACTGCCTCTGGAAAAGTAAGTTCAGAAAGCACAGATGTTGTTTTGTCCTTTTAGCTGTCCTTCCGGTAAACAAACACACGTGTCGTTTTTTACACAGCTCTTTGGCATCGACAGTAAATCAGGAACCGTTTTGTGGAAACAGTATTTAGAAGACATTCAACCCAACTCCATTTTCAAGCTCATAGTGCAAAGGACCACTGCCCATTTTCCACATCCTCCACAGTGCACACTTCTTATAAAAGACAAGGTAAGATTTTGAAGTTCGCTTTTGTATGGTCTAATGCCATTTGCTTGCTTGCTTTTGTTAGCTTGTTTATTCATTTGTGCAGTTGTCTTTGTTTGCTTGTTTGTTAGTTTTACTCATTTGTGCATTTGTCTGTTTGTTTGCTAGTTTGTAAATTGTGCATCTGCTTGTGCAATTGCTTGTTTACTCGTTTGCACGTTGGTCTGTTCATTTGCTTGTTTGTTTATTAACTTAAGTTGTTTGCTTGCTTGTTAGTTTGTTTACTTATTTGTGCATTTGTTCATTTAATTTGTCTATTCGGTTGCTTGTTCATTTGTTTTGTAATTTGTTTTTGTTTATTTCAGGGCTGTTATGTGTTCATAATTTAAATAGGATGATTCAATATTGAACATTATTACTTGTTTGTGCTAAATTTAAACTTGGGTTGTATTTATAGGACACGGGTCTTGGAAGCCTATATGTCTTCAATCCTATCTTCGGCAAGAAGAGTCACATTAGTGTCCCTGCTTTACCCCGACCTGTGCTTCAGACCCTTCTGCTACCTGTCATCGACCAGGACTATGCTAAAGTCCTTCTACTTATTGACGATCAGTACAAGGTAGGTATCCGTCCTTCTGACAAACCTTCTGTGTTCCTTGCAGAATGTGAACCTATTTCTTTTATTTTCTCTTTCAGGTCACAGCATTCCCATCTACTAAGAATGTTCTACAGCAACTTCAAGACACAGCATCCTCTGTTTTCTTCTACCTAGTGGACTCCAGTCAGGGAAAGCTGTCGGGTTTTCGTCTGCGCATGGTTGGTAATCATTCAGCAATCATACAGATAGAAAGCACTTTTGGTGCTGGTGTTCATAAGTGAATTTATTTCTTTTTTTTTTCAGGATTTGTCTACAGAGCTGATCTGGGAGGTGGTCATCCCCACTGAGGTGCAGAAGATAGTGGCTGTCAAAGGAAAGCGTGCAAATGAGCATGTGCATTCCCAGGGCAGAGTGATGGGGGATCGAAGCGTGCTCTACAAGGTACTGCTGACCTTTATGACTGCTCTTATTGGCTAAATGAGATCACATTTCTAATCGTATGTCCTGTCTGTTGTTTGTCCTACCTGTTGTTCCTCTGCAGTATCTAAACCCTAATCTCTTGGCTGTGATAACGGAAAGCACAGACATGCATCAGGAGCGCAGCTTTGTTGGAATCTTCCTGATTGATGGTGTGACTGGCCGTATTGTTCATGAGGCAGTGCAGCGGAAGGCCAGAGGACCAGTTCACTTTGTGCACTCTGAAAACTGGCTGGTGGTAAGTACACAGGCTTATCTATCTTTGGTTTGTTTTTTATTATGCCTGTGATAGATATATACATGTTTCTGGTACAGAATTGAACACTACTTTTTGTGTTTTCTTCCTTATAGTATGTATACTGGAACTCCAAGTTTCGTAGAAATGAGTTTTCTGTGTTGGAGCTCTTTGAGGGAGCAGAGCTTTATAACAGCACAGTATTCAGCTCCCTGGACAGACCACATCCACCTCAAGTGCTGCAGCAGTCGTATATCTTTCCTGCTCCCATAAGCACTTTGGAGGCCACACTTACAGAAAAAGGCATCACCAGCCGACACCTCCTTGGTTAGTATTGAGCATATTCTGCAGTTCGGATATTGACAATTATTGTTATTATATGTTATTGCTATTACAATATTATAAACAGGGCTGCCAACTCTCACGCAATTGACCCAATTCTCACGCTCTCACGCCACACCCCCATATTCTCGCGCAGCAGTGAGGAAAAAAAATCACGGCGCATGATCTCGCAAAATAACGCGCAGAGAGATCAGACAGGCAGTGTGAGTTTTTTGTGACAATTGTGAGGGAAATACACAATTTATTCCCATAAACTGTGCAGTCAGCCGTTCTCCCTCCCATCTGCACCGTGCGAATTGTGAACGCAGGCAGGTCAGTTAGTTACAGGGCGCTCCTTGTCTCCGTCCAGTTTAGGCTAGTAACTAATAGGCCTATGCTGAGCTGCCAACTCTCACGCATTGGCCGTGAGACACCCGCATTTGATTGGTTTCACACACCACACCCTCGATTTCTCACGCTGAAGTGTCAACCCGGTCGGTCAAATGCCTGAAAGATGAGTTTATCTATAGATCTACCTGTTGAGCCACTCGTGATCGACTAGTTATACCGCAAATTAGTTAAAATATCCCGTAATCTAGAGCGAGCGTGCATGCGATATTGTGCTCCAAACCGCGCGCGCGCACGGCAGAGGTAAGCGAGCGAGAGACCTTGCGTGTGCAGAGACACAAAAATGTAAATTTAGGCATCACTATGTATTTCATAATGCACAGATTGAAATATGAATAACAAATCCTTTTAAAATCTGCTATATAGCGGTATATATTTAATATTTATATATTTATATAGCGCCTTTCTACAAACTCAGGGTCGCTTTACAATATTAAAACACGTGAACATGGCAGCAGGCATAGAGACACATACAGATATACTGAGTGTACAAAACATAACATACAGAACATGAAATCGATCTGGGTTAGGAATCAGAAAAACATGAGGTGAAAAATGTGTAATCATATGAGGCCGCCAATGTGTTGGGGAATGGAATTCCAGAGGGTGGGGTCAGAGATACAGAAGGCCCTGCCACCAAACGATTTGTGCCGCGGGACCAGCAACAGACCAGATTTAGAGGACCTAAGTGTTCAGACATGGGTGTACTGCTATGAATACGGCTTTGAATGTGATGAGAAGTGTCTTGTATTGAAAAACAGGAGTAATGTAGGGAGATTTCTTGGTATATGTGAGGACCCTGGCTGTGGAATTCTGAATATATTGGAGCTCATTTATTGTTGTAGTGTGGGGAAGCCTAAAAAGTAAAAATTGCGGTAGTCTAGCCAGGGAGTAATGAAAGCATAGACTATGGTCTCAGCATCATTGATATTAAACAAGCAACGTTAAACAGACATAAATAAGCAATATTCCTGAGGTGAAAAAATTTGGTAAGTGTGAAAATGTGGGGAAGGAGAGAGAAGAATCAAAAATTGTGGTGGAAGGTCAAACCAGGAAACCCGCAATAACATTAACAGAGATGTAATTTTTATTTTTATAATTTTTTTTATTTTATATATACATCTTAAAGATAAAGGTCTTAAGACAAATATCGGCATTATCTTTTGTAAATTCTGGGTGTTACTCTTTTTCTTTATAGTGGGAATGCCATCAGGAAACATTTTATCCTTACCAAAGATGTTTCTGGACCCACGGAGACCAGAGTTGATCTCAGAACAGAGTCGGTGGGTTCTCACATAATATTTACTATGTTGAGAGAAATGTCACGCGCATGATTTAATCATTATGATTAACAAATTGCTTGCCGAGTAACCAAGTTGAACAATGATTCTCACACCATTTAGGGAAGAAAACCTCATACCATATGCTCCAGAAATGCCCATTCGTACGGAGTGGTTTATAAACTACAACCAAACTGTGTCAAGAGTAAGAGGCATCTACACTGCCCCTTCTGGCCTGGAGTCTACCTGTTTGGTAAGAGTCATAGTTCAGTCCATTTTTCCTTTCACAGTATTAAGTAACTTTTTGTTGGTATGATTAGTCTTAATTGAAGCTCTGTTTAATGTAATAACAATGACATGAATGTCCATAGTCACACTAAATAATTTCCATTTAATTACTTTATCCTATAGGTGGTTGTGTATGGTCTTGACATCTACCAGACCAGAGTGTTCCCCTCCAAGCAATTTGACGTCCTTAAGGATGACTATGACTATATATTAATCAGCAGTGTACTCTTTGGCCTCTTCTTTGCCACCATGATCAGCAAACGTCTAGCAGAAGTGAAACTGCTGAACAGGGCATGGCGATAAGACTCATCCTGATGGCCTGTTGACTTCACTCTCGTCCTCACTGCAATGTGGTTGACACATTGATGGCAGGAGACTAGCTGGTGACCGTGTCAAAACTGCAAGATCATTTGATAAGTTTGGTGTATTTTTGCAACCAGCTGTCTTGGGGATCTTGTGGCGTCTTGAGTGTAAGTGCATAGATGGCCATGATAGTTTTTTCCCTTTTCAGAGAGATGTAATGATGTAGGTCTTATTTTCCCCCCAGCATTGAACAATACACTGTCTAATTTGTTAATTTATTGTGCCTTTCGGGGTAACGGCTCTTGTGATTTAAAGGTAGACTCGCCAAGTATAACAAAATAACTCTTTTAATTTATTTTTTTTCATTCTAGATTTCATTAAGTAAGTCTGAGTCTGCCTTTCAAAGAGGCTGAAGGATGAGTTGATGTATTTTCAAAATTAATATTGAGGAAGGATTATTGCAAAGGGACTGCTATTTTAATTTAAATTAATGAAAAGATTGAACAATGTGATTTGTTTTTAAATTAAAATAGTAGTAATATGATCTGTTGAGGTGTTAAAGAATATATTGCCTAATTCCATGTACATGATTTGAATGGGCAAACACTAGTGCACATGAGAAATATGACATTTCAAGAGTCAAGACATTTGGATCATTTTCTCCTGTACATTAATGATAGAAGCTTCTGCATAGGAGTTCGGGTAGTCTTTTGTAGTTATTTTATGGTATGTCAAATGCACTGGATGGTTTGGAGCCATGTTCTTACTTGATATATTTATGAGCAAGATCCTATTATGCCATATACTTTGATTTTGACTCATACACATGCAAATCCTTGTGATTTTACTATTGTGCAGAATGTTTCTACTCTTTTGATTTTCATAAATAGGCCTGTTTATATACATAATTTTGAAAGCGTCCCCTCTGCTGCAAATTAATGATGTCAGAAAAAAAATTAGTTTAATAATATTTATAACAAAAGGATATTCAGTTAAGTTGGTAACAAACCTAATGCTTTTTTAAACATGCATAAATTATTTGTTTCCCCCCAATCAGTAATAAAAGATATCTCCTTCCTAATTGTTGACTCTTGAATTGTGTATACTCTTAATATATTTATTGAAGTTAGAACTGCTACAATTGTGGGTAGTCTGGGCAATAACCGTTGAAATACGTTCTGGCTGATCATTAAAGGGATAGTTCAGCCCAAAAATGTAATTCTGTCAACGTTTACTCACCCTCATGACGTTACAAACCTGTATTGAAAGGACCAGAGAATAAGACATTTTGAATCATGTTTGTAACCAAACCGTTTTGGTTCCCATTGACTTTCATTATACGGACAAAAAAAAATGTGACCGTGTGCAACTGGTCTGATTTTTGATTATTTTAAAGGGATAGTCACTTAAAAGTAAAGAAGAATTTTTTTTACATATTTACTTACCATCGTGTTGTTGATGACGAGATGTTAGGCAGAATGAAAGCCTCAGTTACTATTCACTTACATTGCATCTATTATCCCCCATATCATTAAATTGAATAGTGACTGAGGCTCATTCTGCCCAGCATTTCCTTTTAGGTTTCAGAAAAAGTAAGTATTACAGGTTTGGAAAGACATCACAGTCCTGTTACTTTCTCAGAAGGTTACAACCACTGTAGGTTACAACGTGCTCACATCATGACACAACACGTTTCATGTTTATCTCTGACGACAGTTCCTGTTATTTGACGTCTGATGATTAACCTCATTTCCGCTCTTGGATTCTAATAGAGTATCTCAAGATGGCGTCGAGTGGAGGAGATGGAGAACCTGAGTGGACCGCAGCCGTACGGCCACTTTTATCAGCGTCCTACACGGCTTTCGAAACGAAAGAGCTACCTCAGCTTATAGGATCCATCATAAACAGGTCAGACGAGGGCTTGTTTGTTGAGTTCCCCCGTGCAGGGCTGAAATAAACTGTTGAGTGACTCCGCATTAGCTGTGATGCTATGGCAGCACCGAGGCTGTGACTCAAAACCTAGTCAGCTGACTACCTTGACAGCATTTCTGAGCATCATGAGAGGGTTTGGGCCGTTCCCAATACGCACATACTAACCCAAAATGCTGTCTGAAATGGTTTCCAAAGCCAAAAATTATTTTGAACGCGCAAATTATGCTTTAAAATGCTTTCTACGTAGCCAGCTCGTTGGGCTTTGAGACACAGCTGGAGTGTTACTGTGCATTTACAGTAGCAGATGCATCAGATTTTGCTTCATCATCAGGCCGGGGATCCATTCTTATACGTTCATATAACCGGCCCGAATGATATTTTAACAATGTCGATTACTTATAATGAACCCTAAATCCACTGACATCCAACCCTAAATAAAATGATTTTATATTTGTGTCGGAAGTGAATTAATTGACAACGAATGAGCTTGTTAGCCTCCCTCTCGACTAAACCCAAACAACGCTAGTTAGTTAGCCTGCTAGCCACTGTCAAGACGTGCTACTTATAAGCGTCCCTTTAAAATGTCAACCAAGTCAATCTTCATCAGTCAGTGGAAACCACATTAGTCCCATTTACTCAAAGTTTTAATTTTAGTCGTTTCAATTTGATGCATATGGGGGTGTGCCTGCTAACTAGCCAGCTATGATATGACTTAGCAGCTGGTGCTAGTGTTGTTGATGGTTCGCTAATTGTGTCAGCCTCGTTTGGTTAAAAATGAAACGTCTAAATTCTATTTTAGTTTGTTGTAGGTTTAGTTGTCCGTTTCAAAGGCTTATTTGTTTCGGTGCAAATATGTGTAACGTTACTGTCATCAAAGTTTCGTTTTTACAGAAAAAGTGTTAGGTGTGCCGTATGCGCAAATAAACACATTAGCGTCTGTGTCATTTAATACTTAATAAACACTGATCTGACTACGAGCCAAGCAACTGTCTGAGCTTTAAAATAAACACTAAACACACTGAGTCGAATTTATGATTCAAAAAACGTTAACTGTTGTCTTTTTGTTTTGTCGGTGTTCATGAGCTAAGTGCAACTTAACCAGTCAAAAGTGAAAGTAGTACTATTGAGCTGTCAATCTATACTGGACTAAACCTGTTTATGTTCGTAGTTTAATAAAGATTGAGTCTAAATTTTGTTTTTAAATTCAAACTGCAATAATTGTGTTACTGTCCCATATGTCTCTATTCATCTCTCTGGATTGAATCATTAATTATGATCAGTATATTGTTTGCTGACATGAGTGTATTTGTTCAAAAATAAAAGTCTATTCCCAATGCAATTCTTTTAAATGTATATAAAAAAACCTTTAAGGCGTACCATTAAATTAATGTTGTTAAACTAAATCTGAAATAAAATTAAATATATCAGATGATAGACTTAAACTTGAAAAATGTAAATGAAAATTAGAAATGCTGTCTTGGCAAGGCAACTAACTGAAATAAAATAGGTTTAAGGTGTCGTACTAAAATAGTAAAATTACAAAAACTGAAATAAAAAAATTAAAGCAAGCATATAAGAATTATATTAAAAAAAACGAATAAAAATGACAAGCACAAAACAACATTACTAAAATAATATATATATATTAAAAAGCTAATTATTAAATACAATAATATAAATAATACTAAAACAACTGGTACAAACTGGGCAATTATTAAAATAAATTTTAGGAATCATTTAACACATGCAACTTAAACACTTTTTAAAGATGTTTGATATAGTGTTTGTTGTTATACACAAATGAGGAACTTTGATATTGCTTTCTTGCAAGCATTCAGTCTGTCAGATATGGTCATGCATTCCTACTCCAAATAAATGTTTGTGCTTTGGAATTATTTGTTTTTCACCTTTTATTGCTAACTAGGCTAGTTGTTACATGCTTACTATAGGACAGTTTCATAATATTGCTGGATGGAACAGCATTTAGTGAGTTCTTTAGTTAGTTTAGCCCAGTCTGGATGTATTCTGATATGTTACACTGACTTTCATAATTCAATTTATACTGGATAATCCAGTCCCGCCCTACATTTGATCTCATTACATACCTGGTGTCACTTGGAAATGTCACATTACGAAAGTAAAATGAGTTGCAAACTGCAATTTATAGTGATTGTAACCATTTTTCTCTTCTTTTTTTATAGTGAATCTGAGATTCTTCACCATGACAAACAGTATGAGCCATTCTACTCCTCTTTTGTGGCACTATCTGCACATTACATCACCACTGTTTGTGGACAAAGTATGTCAAATTTCAATATTTTATTCTAAAACTATAATTTCCTTCATTTCTAGCCAAAGTAGGCTACATCATATGTTTTAGCTGAATGTAGACGTACACAGATTTAACTGGCTATTCACAATATTCCCATTTAATAACAGTTCTTCTGTCACATTCTAGTCCCCAGAAATCAGTTGCTGTCAGTAGCTGCAGCATGTAAAGTATTGATTGAATTCTCATTGCTGCGTCTGGAGAATCCTGATGAAGCATGTGCAGTCTCTCAGGTCAGACATGAACCTTTTGATCAGAGCATGGTGTACATCCTGTCTGTTTGAATAAGCCTAGCATTTTCTTATAAACTAACTTCCTTTCTCTTTCTGCTCAATAGAAGCACCTGATCCTCTTAATAAAAGGCCTTTGTACTGGCTGCAGTCGATTGGATCGGACAGAGATCATCACCTTTACTGCGATGATGAAGTCGGCCAAACTTCCTCAAACTGTCAAGACCCTTTCTGATGGTAAGAGCTGTTTTAAATGGTCATAGCCACAGTTCCAGTGCAAGCAAATTCAGACTACCTCCTACAGGTAGCATCGGGTCCGTATGACAGCTTTCACCAATTTTTCATGCAAACCTTACCGCGTTTCGAGCTAAGCTGCCCGTATGAAAGCACCCTAAGGCAAATGAAATGTCTTACTTGGTGTAATGACCTGTTTTTGGGGGGGGGTAAATCTCTGTGGTTTAAATATAGGCTAGACCCAGTATTACGGGATGGGAATATGCAGCAGCAGTGTTTTGGTGTGTTAAATGATGCGCCTCTTGCTTGTTATTTCAAGTAAATAACTTCAGTTGGTGAAGGTGTTTGCTTTGCCTTTTGCCTTAAAAAGGCTAATTAAAGGGACATAACATCTGGTGTAGTGCTGATTTGAGGGAAAATCTACAGAATTAATTTATACACAACTGTTCAAGTTGGGGGACTGTAAGGTTTTTTTTAATCCTGTTGAAAGAATTATTTTGTGCTGGAGTACATTTCTTGTTATCAATGTTGAAAACGGTTGACTTTTTTTCAGGATTCTTCTTTGATAAATAAAAGGTTTAAAAGAACTGCATTTATTTGAGGGGGAAAAAAAATGTGTAAAAGTATAAATGTCTTTACTGCAACTTTTTTTGATTAAGTAGTCCATCCTTGCTGAGTATTAATTTCTCCCCCCGGTAGTGTATGGTAAAAAAAAATTGAAAAGGAGCTGAAAGAAACTAGGATACTCTTTTTGGTAAATGATATGTTTTGACAAAATATTAAATAAGAGGTGCAGAGGTTCTGTAGGATTGTAGGTTTTATTGGAAGTTCTAATAGTGTGCAAATCTGCTGGGACATATTCCATGTGGACAGATTCCTAAGGTGCCTTTGTTGTTCATTTATGTCTTACAATGATGATGCAGGGCTGGTGGTACCCAGATGTGTCATAACTATATTTGTCCCCTAGGGGTGTGCAATATATCTCGTCTGTTTGTTTTAACGATATGCCGCCGATTTGACATTATCGAGTATATCCCTCACACAGAGAGTGCATGCATACGTGATGTAGTCTTGTAGATTAGACTAGTGTGGGTGCAC